ATAGATATTTTTAGTTAAAATTATAAGGATAAAAAATATTTAAAAATATAATTTTTTAATAAAAACTTTGTTTTTCTAACAACTATATTAATTTATTGAATGATATAATATAATAATATAGTATAATATAATATAATATACGTATTTGTAATTAAATATTAATAATGTGGTCAGGGCCGTATTTAGGAATTTGACACCAAGGGGCAACAAAAAAATACGCCTCATTAATCATTATACAAAACACAAATTTAAATTATAAAAAAATTAGCCCCCCCCCCTCCTACTCAGCCGCCCGGGGCAACAGCACCCTGTAGCTCCCCCCTAAATACGGCTCTGAATGTGGTAATTACTAATTATAGATACCAAAATTATCGTTTAAAAAATATTTGTGAATGAGGTTGTGAGTAATATTGTAGTCTGGGGATTTTTTTTCCGATTACCATATATATATACCCTACGGATTCATAGTTCATACGAATGACGACCATCAATGATATCCCATGACACATATTTTAAACAAATAAAACAAAACTAATTTCTTTTTTTAGTATATAGGTACATATTATATATAATATTAATTATATTACTTTCTGTGATTTTACATGGCTAATAATAGTAAATATATTTGGCCATGATATTTTGTAAACATTTGTTTATATTCCATGAGTTTATAAAATTTTCAAGCACATCGCACACGTGCTTTCAATTTTCAAATGATAATATCAGCTATGTCCTAGAGGCTATACTGATAAAAATCTTATAGGATATTATAATATTATATGAAAACAAAACAAAAWTTAATATTCATATTTCATTTCTTTTTATCTGTGATTAATTGCAATAGACAGTATACATTTATTACTCTTCTGCAGTTTTTTTTTGTATCCTTTCTTAGCTAATGACTAAAACAAAACAATGCGTATTGACACTTGTTATTTTTGTTCATCCAAAATATATCCTGGACATGGAATGCACTTCGTAAGAAATGATTGTAAGGTATGTCAAATGCATTAAATATTATTATGTCCATTTCGTAGTCCCTTAGAAAACATTTATTAATAACTTTGTTATGTTTTAGGTATTTAAATTTTGTCGCTCGAAATGTCATAGAGCATTTCAAAAGAAGAAGAACCCTAGACGTGTACGATGGACTAAAGCATACCGTAAAGCTGTTGGTAAAGAACTGGCTGTCGATCCATCATTTGAGATTGAAAAAAGACGTAACATTCCTATGAAATATGACAGAGAGTTTTGGCAAATGTCAAGTAAGTAAACTATATTTAATATGCATAGTTATGAAACAATTACAGTAAATATACCRTACTAAATATATTTATTAAAAATTGTTTGTTATACTATTAACACATTTCATAACTAATAAAATATAATGATCTTTGTTTAAATAGTGGAAGCAATTAAGAAAGTAACTGAAATTCAAAAGAGGCGCCAATCTACCTATGTAATGCAGCGATTACGTAAAGGACGTGAAGTTGAACAACACAGAGATATCAGAGAAGTCCAAAGAGATATGTCACTGATCAGGTCTCCTGCTGCAGGTAATAATTGAAGAACTGTTATTTTTAATCAATTTCAATCATGGAATTTATTTTAACTAACATTAATGTGTCTTTACTCTGGAGAATTAACTATTGTTTTATACCAATGTCATTGAAAAGAGATAGAATGTGTTGCTAATGACAGTGATTAATCATCAAACTTTAATAGTATCAATGAATCATTGGATATTAATTTAAAAACGTTAGTAAACTCAAAGAAAAACCTGGATTAAACTTTGTTTTTATCAGAAGAACTAGAATATAACTAAATATAGTTCTGGAAAAAAAGTGAGGCTAGAAATATCAAAAGAAATAAATAAACATTATTTATTATATCTAAAATTAAGGGTTGGCAATCTTTTTGATGTCATCAATTACTTTATTTTTTTATATATAAAAATATTTAATCATATCAAATTTAGTTTATGAAATCATTAACTGTTAGGTTTATTAATTTAATTAGATATCTACTATCTATAAACAACATTTATTTTAATCTGCAGATTCCAGTTGTTGGTTTATTACTATTTTAGTTCATGATTTTTGTAAAAATTATAAATTTTACTTGAGAGCCACATAAAATTACTATGAAGACCACATGTGGCCCGTGGATTATTGATCCCTAGCTTTAGAGGTTATGTTAAGAAATATTTTAAGGCTTTTTAGAAGTATTTTGGGAGCTACGCCAGTATAGAAGTCAGAAAAATGTATCTTTTTTGTGATTATTGATTATTATTAGTATTAAATTCCTACAAATTTGAGATAATGTCTTTAAAGTCTAAAACTCAATAACATTTACTGGCTTTCTTCATATCATAATAATGAGCGGGATAGAAGATAAACCATGAAAAAAATGACATGATCATTTATTTGTAACGTGTTCTCACCAAAAGCAGATTTTGATGTCAATGCAACCGCGACATGTATAACTAAACTCAAATTGATATGTTCTGACCGGCATCAACATACCTAGATATTAACTCAACTATTTGGAAACTATTTTAAAGCAACTCGATATGTAGATCTCTTCTAGCTAATTGTTCACTTAAACTTATTACCTATTGACCACTAGTTGAATATTTGAAGTAAAAATCATTTTTAAAAACATCAAAAACCTAAAATTGTATTCAAAACGATARCATTTTATTGTTTTATGATCTTTTTTTTTAATTTGTTYAAAAAAATTTTATTATTAGAGTATTTACTAAAAGATAATTAATGTTTAAATTRGTCAACATACATTCATTTTGTATATAATGTATTTTTTATACATATAGTTCAATATGTTAGAAAAACATTTATAATCTTTCTTATGTTCATGTATGATTAAAAAATAACAATGTAAACTTAAAAATTACTTGATTGTTTTAGGACTTAAACAACGTTTGGCAACTGAAGAAAAACTACTCGAAGAAGAAGAAGAAAATGATGTGGAGATGATTGCTGCAGAAGACGAGAATAATATTGATCATAGTAAATTATCTTACATAAAAATATAAATGTTTGTAACTGTTCAATAGTGTTGTAATATGGATCTTTATTTGAATATATGCATGAGTAATTATTTACATAAGTTATCAGCCCAACCTTATTTATTACGACATAGTAAAAGACAGATAAGATACCAAATAAATATCTTTCCGGCTAATGGATGTAAAAAATATAACTCAACCTCATTAGAAGGTACTGTATTATTTATTGATGTTAAAAATTTAGTTTCAAAAGAACTAATACAATATCTTGAAAATGCGTTTCTCTACATTTTTTTTGTTCTTGGTGATTGGTAAGTAATAATCGGCATGATTTAAATGAATATAATGGGTTTATTATTTATCTGTATGTGTGGAAATCATCAAACCATATTTTGACAACCAAAATTTAATGTTATATTTTCAAGTAACAATCTCATTTCTCAATGAAACAGAAGCAAGACGAAAGATTCTTAGGGGAAGAAAAACTATTACCAGGACATATTATAGTAAGTACTAAGTAATGGTAAATATTAATATTATTGAATGAATCTAAATGCAACTGTAGTTTTATAATTTTCAATTTTGTGATAAATAGTTATTAATTGACAAACGTGTGGATGCTCCCGCTCTTCTTTCTCTATTATATTAATTGTAAAGTTCCTTTTCGCTCTAATAGGTCTAATTCTACTTTTGTTATTCCATTCCACAACATCAATTATAGTAGGAAAAATGTTATTCACCATACAATACGCATTGCACATGAGTAATAAGTTCCTAATTTGTAATGTAACCTTTTTGAATTTTTTTTTAAATTAAAATTATCATTTGTTTATTCCATTCTGTTGTTGCTTACTTTAACAATATGTTTTATTGGCCATATGTCATCATTACTATTGAACTTATTTACTTATCTATTGGGCTAAGCCCATTAATAAATATAAATAAATAAAATCCTATACCATTTTACCATGATCGAAAATTCCGTTTATTATTATTATCACTAAAATATTAAAGTAATAACAATATTATATTACAATTTATGACATATAATTATTAGTTAAGACAGTGAATTTGCATATGAATATTAGATTTGTTATTTAGTAGCATTGGTTTTATCGTTTTAAGTCAATTTCATTACCTACAAGGTACTGTTGAATTTCATCAAATTAAATATAGTATTTTTTATCGYAATACAATGGAAATAATATTGTAAAACTTTTTAAAATACAAAATTATTTTTTAACGCTACATAGTTTGCGTGAGAGAACAATATACATTCATCAAAATACTTTCATTTGTAGCGTTAAGCAAATGAAAAATAGATGACACTCACATAAAATATAAATATATAACAAATCAATAATGTATTGTCTAATAATATCAAAAAGCAAAATCAGTACTATAATCATTTTTTTCTTTTTACCTAAGTAATAATCCCCTAAAAATTGATACAATACACATCAAMATTTTTTTTTTAGAATCATTAGGAATACCGGCTTGGTTGTCAATCACATTCACTGGACTCATCATATTAGGGATTTCAGGAATAATTTTTGCTGTATTGCAAAAATTTATTATAATTAACAATCAACCTCCACAACAAACGCCTTCCTCGGTACCACTCACAACATCAACTTAAAACCCCTGAAGTATTAATTTACTAACAATTTTTAGTTTTAAAAATATTGTAATTCAGGCAAAATCRATAATTAAAAGATATAGTTGAACTATCTTATAATCATTTTGTATAAGAGGAACTAATGTACAAAACAATTTTACCTGGAAATTACTGTTATTTATGTGCTAAAGGTTTTTTTATTTARTAATGTAATTCAAAATAAAATCATTTTTTTTTTTTAAATTGTTTTCATGTTAATCTGATAAAATACAAAATTAAAAATGTCTTTTGATTAATAATACATGATTTATTATAAGTTATAACATTTTCTCACTGTATTATTATTATAATTACAAAACTAACTGTAAAATCTACATATATACATTATTCATGGTTTAATTATTTCTTCGTACAAGTACTTGAATGAGTTTGCAAATCCGGCAAAAGTACCAATGACTATGAAACCAACCAAAAGGCGATCAGTCATTCCACGTTTCAGGTAAACTGGTACACCATCAGGTCTTTGGAAAAATGCTTGCCATTCCTTTAAATTTTTCAAACGAGCATCTTCACATAAAGGTTTGCTTCCATGGATACTTCTGGACAATGGTTTAGTTGCTACCAATATTTTGCGGAGCGACATTATGTCTGTCTAAAACAATAATTATATACATATGAGATAATGTGATTATGTGTGAATGTTTCAATGTTAAACATACATGTCACATGTGAACAACGTACTTAGACAAAAAAATATATTTAGGTAGTACACTAAAAAAGTAACAAAGATATAGTATAACTACATTAAATATTTTTCATAAGCTCCAGAGTTAAAAAAAATATTCTGTACTTAATACTAAGTACAGACAGTACAGTGGTAGCAAGTATTACAATTCCACATTATGGTTTGAACACAAACTTTTTATTGAAAAAATGTTTAGTAATAAATAAGGATGTGTGAGAAATCCTAAACAACTATTCACCACCATACCAATTCTATGTAGTAAACATGGCAATGCCAGATGGAATARATGCCGCTCATAGAATTGGGGATGTAAGATATACACCAGAACCCCCTGTAATTTCAGGTGACACCCACTATACGTTCGCCAGGTCATCATCATATATACATTTATACACAAAGCTACATAGGCAATAGAATATTAGCAGGACTGATAGCCAGTATGTTT